GCTACGTTACTATCCCAGGCCAGAATCTTTATAGTCCCCTTAAGTAGATAGAATATGGGGTCGATGGGGATCTTATATTAATATACCCAAAGCCATATTCTATTTACTTAAGGGGGACTATATTGTTGCCCGCCTCCATAGACCAACACTGCAAAATAGTTTTTGGGGGGAAGAGTTTTCTTATTGGCAGGTCGAACGTTAGTGGGCCAAGCAAGGCCCTCTACATGGAGGCTCGGGGGACGTAGTAAATAGATTTACTACTGCCCATAAGATCCCTCGATTGTCCATATCGGACTTTCAGGTCTTGTTCCGCAGCTGCAAATTAGGCCTTCGAAGTCCCAGCTCCTTCCAGGACCCCTGGACCTCCTCTTCTTCAATGGCTGGGATCGTTCAGGCCCACGCCTTCCCGTTATTGTCCCAGCCCACGATGGTTCTTCAAACGTTAACCCAGACCTGTAGGTGACCACTGAAGCCCCTCACCCTCCGCACCTAAAACCGGGTAGCTGTTAAGGAACTTAAGTTAAGTTGCCGTATTTCGGAAGCCCTATTCATTACTATATATATATATGCCCAGTATGGTAACTTAACTGAAGTTCCTCAATAGGAAAAAATATATTAGGGAAACCCTATTAATCACTAAATATACCCAGTATGGTAACTTAACTGAAGTTCCTTAACAGCAACCCCCCCAAAAATGGTACCCCTAATTTTGGGAAACCTTAAACCCCAAACCCTATATATCCCTATATAAATCCCTATATAACCCTCTTAACCCCAATACCCCTTTAACAGCCCAAGCATTAGCCACCGAGGTGATGGCACCGGCCAGCGCAATGGCGGAATTGGGCATTCCGGCAGCATCAAAGTCAGGGGGCTCAAAAGGTGGGATAAAGCTAGGTGGGTTTAGGGTTTAGGGTTTAGGGTTTAGGATTTAGGGTGAGTTAAAAGGGTCCCTACTGTAGATTCTACTATATTGGGGCTTACTTCCTTTACCCCACCTACCTTCATCCCACCTTTTGAGCCCCCTGACAAAGGTGCTTTTCTTGTTTTTGATTCGCTGAAAGTTAGCATATTGGGGGTTACACAGGGTTTTTTATCGGGATCATGGAAAAGAAAATGGAAACGACTATAGTATTTGAAGAATCTAAATTCTAGATGAGGCCCCAAATTGCCAAGTCATTTGGGCCTGTTGTAGATGATATCCTTGTAGCCCCGAGAGCCTAGTTAAAGGGAAAATGCCGGGATGCATGCTTTCGAATGGCCCGTGCGAGACTCTTCGATGGGTCTTGTGTGGATACTGCCCCCACCCAGTAACAGCTGACCTAGCACGCACTGTCTGAGACCTTGCATTACTCCATCCCAAAAGATGAGTATCTTTTAAATAATGGGAAGCATATGGACACGCAAATGGAAAATTAATTGTCAGCTGGCCTTCGATAGTCCTTACGGGGCGTGCAATGTAGAAGGCTGGATAATTACCAATATCGTTCCCTCAAAATCCTTCTGCAGTGATGGTCTATTGCCCTCCAATGGTGTTATTCTCCTACATTAGGTCAGCTTAAGGGCAACGAGGCTGGAACAGGTTGTTGTTTGACAAGCAGTCGTGAAACATGATCGGTGGCAGTTTGTGCCTTACTGTACTACTGTCTGCTTTTCACGTTCTGCGTGGAAGCAAAAATGTCGCGGCCAAAGGAAGCCGAATGCTGCAGCGATTGGGGGCCGTATGATCATGAAATGTCAGGGCTATGTGGGGGATTATATTCACAATTTCCGGCTCTTATAGCAGACTCTACATCCTCAACCTATTGGGCGCCATTTCATGCACTTGCCAAGTTCCTAGAACCCTAGATCCTGAACCATTTCCATGTAGGCCGTCAGCGTTTCCTTCTGAGGTTTGTAGTGTTTACTGTTTACGGTTGCAGTATGTTGCAGTTGCGACTGCAAGAATGACTATGTGTGCTTGAGGCAGCTCATCATTGGCACCCAGACGTCACAGAAGGCATGTAACGACATGCAAGAGACGGCTGGAGCCCCGACGTTCTTGCGTTGCTCAACAAGGCAACCTAACGCCTAAACCTTAAAGCATAATTGGCCCCAGCTCTAGAGCAAAAGCAAGAATGAGATTGAACATCATGGCAACAGTGGCCAGCAGCTTATGACTCACAAGGATTCAATGAGGCTAGCGTATGCCCAAGGAAGGCTTCATACACCGCATACATCTCCACTTGAACCCTTACAGGACGGACAACTTCCACGTGCGCAGATCTTTTCCAGTGCTATGTTTCACATACAGTTGGTTTCGCAATATTCTTCAGGCTGTGAGTTCATCCATTTTCCTGACGTGTCACTAACCCCTGCCCTTTCGTGTTTGATCTCTTGGGGCAAGGTATCATTGCAGACCATGCGCGCTGAGTTACCCTGAATCCTAGACAACATCATGCCGCCAGCACACGCATGCAGCTGCATAGCATATACTGGCTCCCGAAATATGGTAGGTTCCTTAAATTCGGAGACCCCAATATAGACCTCAAAATGCTACAACCCTTATTATGGAGACCCCCAAAAGCGTGTTCATAAATTTGGGAAACCCATATACCATGTACTTTCATGGACACTTTGGGCTTTCACGAGATCTTGAGAGGTGGGATCTCCTCTCTACAGCATATATTGGAGTTTCACCAAAATTTCCGCGAATGAATATGGTACCGCTGACACTACGGCACATCTTTTGGGGAAAGGTATAAGACTGGAACTGAAATCTTGAAAGCTGCCCACTTGTCCTCATTGAGCCATGATCCTCCGCTTGAGCTCGCAGTCGCGCATTCACCATGGCTCAGGCATAGCAGCCATGTATGTAAAGGTAGGGTTTTAACTTAGGTAGCAGTCTGCTTCATGTGCTCCTCACATGGGTTACCGGACTTAGGAATTTGTTCTGAGCTGGCTTTGGAGATGTTCGACCTCGTGGTTCAGAAGCTCCCGGGCTACTTCTGCGCCCCCCCCTCTCCCGTGCCTGGACCCAGACACCTTGCAGACAGTCTTTAGGACAAGGAACCCTTGCGCGACTGTCACAGACTTGACTGCATGTGGCACCCCTCCAACTAGACTAACTAGACATGGCCTACTTTTTATGACTAGGAAAGAAAGCCCTGCAAAGTCTTTTCTGCTGGGGTTTGCTGAAGACAGGCTTGCCCCTGGCTAGTTAGTGACACTAGGAGAGGTCAGGTGCATCATTCACACTCATCACTATGGGTATTCATATTTCACTGTTTATCAGCACCATCATGTTTGGGCATTTTTTTTCATATTCAAGGTTTAGGTCTTATAGAACCCCCTTGAAGGTACCATACAAGCACCTGAGCTCTCCTGGCCGCCATGGCTCGTGTACATCCAGGCGGCCAGTCGGCGGGCCCACGAGAAGAGCTTCTCACCTTGGAGGTTTTTAGGGTTGTGGTCTCCCTGAACCCCAAAAGTATGTAATATAATGGCCTTTATGGCTGTAATTATGGGTTTAAGGCTATGTTTTACATACTTTGGGTGTTTTTTGGTTGAGGTCTCAGGCTTCCCAGAGGGTCCATGTACCCAATGATTAGGTACTTGGGTTTTGGGTAATAGTAATTGTAGTACAGGTCTTGGGGGAGTATATGAATATTGAATACTTGGACCCTTAGGGCTTTAGAGCTGAGGGTTTAGGTCTTAGGGCTTAGGCTTTAGGGCTTTAGGGCTTTAGGGGTTTAGGGGTTTAGGGTTTATAGGGCTTAGGGTTTAGGCTCTGGGGCTTGGGGTTTAGGGTTTATAGGGCTTAAGGTTTAGGATGCAAAAAAAGGTAAAGCAGTTTTGTTCCATGGTAGAGCGTTTAGGCTTTAGGATGCCAAAGATGCGGCAAAAATGAGTGCTGTCCATGTTTATGTGCTTGGGGTTTCGAATCTTGGGCACCTATTTTCAGTAATTGCCCTCTGTGCCTGAGCCCTACATGAGGTATTGTCAAGTACTTCAGAGGTCATGCAAGGTCTCTGGCCGAGGGACAGCGGCGTCATTCAAGGACCTGGCAGCACAAGGTACATGGTATACTTAACATGAACCCCATACTTCCGAAGTGGGATCCTCAACAGCAGCTAAGCCGGTGAATTCCGACAGCATCAGCCTAACCGCCCTTTTCAGGTTCAAGTGCTGCATGTTCTGCAAAGGTGTAGGAATTGGTGCTGCTTTGTTCAACTGTTTGACTAAGAGGTTTTAATGAATCCATGAAGTTTTGGGTTGAGGATGTTCTCCAGCGGTCACGTTTTCCTTTCAAAGCTCTCTAAGAGGAAGCTCCTCTGACTGCTTTGGACCCCTGTTTGCTGGTGGGCTTGCAGTATCCAGGGACGTGACAGAACCAGCTTCCATTTCCCAATGGGTGCTTTTCCCGTCAGTCATATATTGTTTAAGCCTTCTTGCTAGAAAGCGCTTCCCGCCTGCCGTTGGCAATAATACAATAAGCGAATGGCTTCAGGCCCACAACCTCACGGGGGGTGTATGGAGGCAGTAGACCCTCGAAGGCCAGTCACCGTCCCTATGTAGTGGGGTTAGGGGTTGAGTCCCTGGAAAAGGCTACATTAGGGTCAGGGCAAGTGCCTAAGTAGGTTCCTAAGGGGAAGAAGGGGGTTTGGTTACTAGCCCACTTACTACATCCAAGTAGGTGATCAAAGCCTGTGGGTAACCTTGCACTGAGCTCAGACCCGCAAAGCCCTAAATCCGTGATCTTACCAAGAGTCCTGCTCGACAAGAACTTGTTTTGATGTGCTTAACTGCGCGACCATCTTCTTACATTCGAAGCCCTTCCCTCCTTCATCCATACAGATGAAGACCGAATTTGAACCCGCACTGAAAGCCCTAAACCCCATAGATAACTCAAAGGGTGCTGTATGCATTAGCCATGTACTTTGGGGTCGTTCTGCTTTTCTTCTTGGGGGAGTAATATGAGAACTATTTGCTTGGGGCCCTTTGGGGAAGCCACATCCCAGGTCTGGTTTCCTTCCGTGCGGAAACTGCTTCGTAATGGTTCCCCAGGCCTTTCCTGCTGAATTAAAGACGATTTGCTCCATTTTTCCTATTCCCTGACATAGATGGTGTGCCTTGTATAGGGATTAAGGGCTTCACATGGGGCGTTTAGTTCTGTGGGAAGTCGGATTTAGGGGTTGTGGTTCGGTAGACAGACTTACGATAATGCCGGAGCTTAGTCAGTTCATGCTGGGAAGTAAGATGTCTACCAGAGGGATGCTTGTCTTAGTGGCTATCTGCTGCAAATCAGAAACCCTCTAAACCCTAAACTTACTTGGCAACCCGTAGATCATGCAGTGATGCGGTGCTCAGAAACTTGAAACATGTTCTGCTTGGGACGCCGCATTCTAGAGACTTTCCTGTGGTAACTGTCGTGACGGGGCCCCGCAAGTCTGAGAAATCCCTTTTCCGTTTTGGGGTTTCCCAACATTAGGTGTAGGAGTCCCTATAATGGGTGATATAGCATTTTGGAGTCTATATCGGGGTCCCCTTATTTTGGGAAACTGGCATCCTTATGTCATGCAGACGTCCAGGATCGATTCTTCGCGCTCGAGCGCTTTGGCAAGTTCGACCGGACTCTGGCTCCAGGCATGACACCAACCCCGCACGAATTGGGGGTTTCCCAAAATTAGGGGTACCATTTTGGGGGGTCCTATAATGAGGAATATAGTATTTGGGGTCTATATTGGGGTCCCCTTATTTTGGGAAACTACCAATTTAAACTGAGGCGCATTGGGTGTTCCCGTTCGAAAGCTAGGTTGAAAGCTTCCGCCGTAGAATCAGATGCTCTTCACTTCTGGGTGGGTCTAGCAATCTTGCCTTTCTCAACGCAAGGACCTCTAATTATCACAGCCACCTGCCCAGCCCCTAGCCGCTCACCATCAAACACTTCTCACTTGAATTCGCATATGAGGTCCCAGATACAGAGTTTTGCGAGGGTGGCGCCAACCTCTGTCATTGCAGGGGCCTACGTGCAGCCTGCAAAAATTACCGTTTGAGACACATGTTGCCCACAGACAAGCCCTCTCAACATAGGAGCACCCCAAGCCTTTATGGTTGAGTCTATAGTCCCTCTTAAGTAGATAGAATGTGATTTTGGGCATATTTTAATAAGACCCCCGTTTCCTCCATATTCTATCTACTTCAGGGGGAGACTAGGGGTCAGAATTTTGAAGGGTCTTGCTTTCGCATGCGGGATTGCTCAAAGGAGAGGCCTCAAGCCTTCCACCACTCTTGATGCTGCCCTGATGTTAGATCTGAGGCCCCTGATCATGGTGTCTTGTCAAGACATTGGGTTTCTCCCTGGGGTGTGTCTACAGCAATGATGCCATGGTTTACGCTAGACGCTAGAAGCCCTAAACTGGGCAAAACTCCGGAAGAACATGCAATTACACTAACCCTAAACCCTGAGCCCTAGACCATGCATCCTAGGCCCTAAGCCCTAAATGCTAAGCCATAAACCCTAAACCCCAACAAGGAACCAGTAACGCGCTTGAAGGCCTCAGCTGGGCCGGTTTCGATCTTTGCGGAGCTTGCGCCGCTCGGTCTTGATTGAAATTTCAGACCCACATAGTTAGGGCTTAGCACCTTTCAATTATCCTCAAGTGTTGGCTATAGGATTTCAATCGTCAGTATTTCCAGGATACCTGGGAGGGTCTGGGTAGGAGGTGTACGCTTTCACTTTGACATATTCCTCGCCAAGCTCCACCACAATGAGACCATTTGACAGACTCTTCATCACTTCAGAACACTGAATAAGTCAATCAACCCTGAACCCCACTGACCGTAAACGCAATGAAAGCTTACTTGTCTTCTTGCCTCCTCTTCTTGGGAGGTGGCTTTCCGGTCCATCAGCAGCAGAGTGGTGCAGAGTCTTGCCTTCTGAGAGCTTGAGTTTTGGGATTCAAGGTCTATAGAATTTAGCGTTGTAAGAGTGATGGTGTGAAACCTGTCAAATTTAGGGTTCTGGTTGTCAGATCATGGGCTCAGAGTTCCGGCTTCGGGAGGCTCATGGCAGAGAGTCCATGCTTCAGCAGTTTGGGTTTGGTAGTTCAAGGCCTGGGTCGGAGGACCTTTTAGTAGTTAAGGCTTCGGGATTGATAGGGGGAGTAGAGAGGATGCCAGCAGTAGGGAGGCTGTATCTGGGACAGTCATGGCACTGGGCTAGGTAAGTATTACTGGCTGAGAACACTTCGTATCATTTCCCAACTTGCGTCATAGACGTTCTATATACTGCATGGAACGTGAAGCAGCAAATCCTAGAGCGATGCTCGATGATTGAAAGAGTCATGACTTCCTGGCCCTGGCCTCCTACTATTCTGCTTCGAAGCTTGTTGTGCTATGGCTACGGTCTGTAGGATCTTGTGAGAATGGCAAGACCCTAGTGGCGCACGATCCAAGGAGCTTCATTCGCGTCACGACCAAGACGCTGGAGACTGCTGCAAGCTTTGAAGTAGACATGCCTGAGGGCTTGCGCACGATTCTCTTTGTTCACCTGGGTCGCGGTATGTTCTACCACAGCTTGGATGCACGGGAGTGTCGGGCTTCAAGGGTTTTCGAGGAGACCCGACTATGAACAGCTTTTACTTGAGGGATTGTGGGGGGACTGAAGGCAAGGGTTCTACCGAAGACCTGAAGCTAGTTTTGATCAGCAGAAGAGATACACCCTGAGCTGGAATCCAGCCTTTGGGCATTTTGGATTGTCGTAGATGGCCTTGTCGTTAGTGGACAAGTAAATGGAAACTGGTGGTATGTAGGATATTGTATAGGGCTTAGGACTTAGGGTTAACTTGCTAGTAATTCGTCGGGAATGAAGGAGGTGAGCAAAACATGGAAGCGACCATAAACGATTCTGGGGAGTGAATAGGTACATGTCTCTGTTCCCTACTGACATCCAGTCCCCAAGGATCCGACTAGCCCAATGTAGGAAATATTTACAGACTTCAGGGTCCAATGTAGGCATTATCTGTACACTTGAAACCCTATATAACCCCTATATAACTTCATTCTCCATTTCATGTTCCATGTTCTTTTCCATTTGGTTCTCCATTCTTGGTATCCCTAAACCCTGAGCCCTAAGCCCTAAAGCCTAAACCCAAAGCCCTAAACCCCAAACTCTAAGCCCTAAACCCTAAATCCTAAGCCCTAAACGGATCCCTAGGGGTCAGCTTTGAGAGGACAACGTCTTTGTGTATGTGATGGTGGCTGTTCAGCACACCGTCACTGCAGAAGGTGCGCAAGATGCGGCATGGCAGAAAAGGTTGGAACCCAGGGTTTAGGGATTTTGGTTTTTAGGGTTTAGGGTTTATAGTCCCCCTTAAGTAGATAGAATATGGCTTCGGGTGTGTTATAATAAGATCCCCATATACCCCATATTCTATCTACTTAAGGGGGAATGTAGGGTTAGATGTGGGGTTTAGGGTTTACGCATGACGATGGGGGGGGCTTGGTGATGACAAACCGGGTTTAGGATTTTGGGTTTGGGTGTTGTGTTTACGGTTTGGGTTTAGGATTTGTGTGTGGGTTTGGGATTCAGGGTTGTCAGCTGAATCACCGACAGATGCTTGGATTGCTGGAATGCATTCCGGTGTATCTGCTGCTCTCATCCGTATCCCTGCTTCAGCCATGGATGCTGCCAATATGAGCAAAAGTCAAAACTCCTGAAACGCTGGTTATAAGGAGATTATATGGTACTACTATTAAGGTTATTAAGAGGATACTAGCAGTTCAGATTATAGCTACAAGGATGCTTCCAATGTTGATGGGTTTGCGGTTAGTATTATTGTGGCTTCGTTGTAGGCACTTATACCCTGTCCCATACTCCTCCCGGGGACTGAAGTGGGTAGTGGAGGGCAGGACGCGGGCAGGAAGGAAAACAACATCTCGGCGCACCGCAGTCAGTCGGATGCGTCCCACCCTGCCCAAATCCCCAGGCGCTCTGGCACAAGAGGTTGATCTGAAAGGTGAAGAGAACCTAGATCCCTCGAAGAAGCTGTTTAAGTGGGAAACATACTGAACGAATATTTAGAGCCTTCCTGCGAACGCTTGGATAAGCTTTCTGAGGCGCTATACAAGCTTGAGGACGTGACCGAACAGCTGGACTCTTATGTGCGGGAAGCCCAGCAACCCATTCTAAGAAATACGCGAACCCAGATGCTAGCTTCCATAAATAGGGAGGCCCAAACGTGGACCCCAATATCTTAGAATCCTTATTACAGGGACTCCCTAAAAATGGTGCCCCCCAGATTTTGGGAAGCCACCAGCTATCTGGGAATCTGGTGGTGTTGGGGTTCATGGTCATATGTGGCGTAGCAGATCATGTGATTTTCACCTCAAAGAAAGAAGTTGCTTCACTGGTTTCAGACTTTAGCTGAATCCTTGATCTCGCCTGCTGAAGGCTTAAGACTCCAAGTTTCTTGCAAGCCCTGAACTCCTTAGACCTACAGGTACACCTACGCGCCCAAAACCTCCAACCATCTGTGCCAGTAAACGTGTGGAAAGGCGCAGGCTAAATCAGGGTCCACGTACCTAGTCATTGCATGCTTCCCAGCAACGTGTCTTGCATTTTTTAATATACTGGCAACCGTTCGACCTGGGTTTGAGCCCCTGTAAACCCTTCCAGAGTCCCTCCCATTCCTTTTTGAGGGCTTGTTCTGCTTTTGCTGATTCTCAGTAGAAATCCCTTAAAAGGGTACTGTAGGAGTTTAAACCCTGAACGTGACAGGTCTAGGTGAGCCTTGAAGCCCTTGATCCTAGAGCTCTCGCAAACCCAGGACGGAACTTACCGGTGCTCAGTAAGGAATAAAGGAATGGATCCCTTGTGTAGTTCTTGTCTTACCCACAGCAAGAAGGTCGTTCCCATGTACTTTCCCCTTCTTTCATTCAACTAGCGACCAGAAATCCATAGGTCGGATGTCGTCCGATCCTTTGTGCCCACGCTGTCACTGGATGAGTGCTTTGAGCGCAAGGTCAGCCCGACAAGACGCTAGTAAGACCCTTGTGGTTAACGTTAATCTCCTTCATACCGCAAAGTACCTTAAACCTTGGAAGTTGTTGTAAGGTAGTAGGCTACGGTCATGCAGAGTTTTTCAGTATCAACAGCATCCGTATTTGATTTCTCATTTAATGAGAAATCAAGTACGGAAATGTTGTGCCACCATATTCATGACAACTCAAAAAGGTGGGCCCTACAGTACCGTAGCGTAGGAGGCGCCAATGTTCTTATGTAGGCACAAGTGAGGACAGACAGGGTTCCTTGGGAATCTGAGTAACTGTACGTATGGGGTTTTCTAGAGGAGCAAGACATGTAAATGGGAGAGGCCCTGTAGCAGAGAGTGAGATTTTCTAAATTAGGGGTGACAACCGCGTCGGGATGTAGGGCAGGTTGCTCGCAAGGTAGGAGGGAGTTCAGCCCATCTCCTAATGCTAGGCAAACTCGCCAGATATCACCAACTGACCTAAAGTCAGACTGTCCATCCTCTGCAGGAAGAGATCTCCATGGCAGCGGAGTTTCTCGGTCCAATGTGTGGTTACGGGTTTGCCAGCCCCTAGAGCCCCAAGAGGAGCCTAATACGGCCAAAATCGGGGTATATCGGGGTCCTTGGGTCTCAAAATGCTGTACTCCGGACACGATAGAAGGTTCTTGGAGGATTCGGGTATCTAAACAAAGCTCTCTTCTCTTGAGGGACCATCCCCTTGCCTGATGTAATTGAAGCTGATCTGTGCTTGGAGGTCATAACGGCATGTTCCGTGTACGCGGTAATTCGAGCCCTGGACAGTGATCATCAGTTCGATGATCTTGCTTTGCTCGTTGTCTAGGGGCTTCACGTCCCATGTCAACCCTTCCAGCAACTGACCTGCTCCGTCTTTTGAGTGCAGCATCCATGTACACTCTGCTTCTGCAATGATTGTACAAAGTCATCACACAGGATGCTGGGTGATCATATGCTTTTGTCCAAGAGCACACTACGCACCCTAAACCGAATCAAGTGTTGCTCCAGCTCGAGACACAGCCTGTCCAAAGGTTTGCACAAGCATTCCCTACAACAGAAGCTTCAAGGACCTAAGAAGTAACAGGGTTGGTTGAGAGTTTGGGGTTTAGGGCTTAGGGTTTGGGGCGTAGGGTTCAGAAGCCCGCATATGATGAAGCCACCCATCTCTGGTACTGTGGCCCTGACGATGCTATCCTTTGCTAAGTCTTGTGCAAACTATTGTCGGTTTCCCATCCCTCGCCTTCGGGTAGTATGATGGTCACCGATGGTACAATCATGCCTATGGTAACGATCATTGCAGCGCTCAAGTGATCCAAGTAGCTATCTCTATGATAGCAGAGAAACCCCAAACCCCTACCTAACCCCAAACCCCAAACCCTAGGCTCCAAACCCTAAACCCCGAACGCTAAACCCTAAACCCCTAAACCCCCAAACCCTAAACCCCAAACCCCAAACCCTAAAACCCTGAACCCCCACCTCCCTCCAAAATCCACCTGGGCCAAGGGAGAAGCTAAAGGCTGAGATGGTCCAGTATGGCCTGACCATCCTTAAGGCCGGTTTAGGGCTTAGGGGTTTAGGTTTTAGGGGTTAGGGTGTAGGGTTTTAGGGTTTAGGGGTTTAGGGTTTAGGGTTTTAGGGCTTAGGGTTTAGGGTTAAGGCTTTAAGGTGTAGGGTTTAGGGCATCCTTAAGGCCGGTCTTCTGGTACTACGGGGTTTAGGGTTTTAGGGTTTAGGGTTTTAGGGTTTAGGGTTTAGGGTGTAGGGTTTAGGGCGCTTAGGGCCAAGGTGTAGGCTTTAGGGCTTAAGGCTTTAAGGTGTAGGGTTTAGGGCTTCGGGCCGAGGGTTTAGGGTTTAAGGTTTAGGCTTTAAGGTGTAGGCTTTAGGGCTTTGGGTTTAGGGTGTAAGGTGTAGGCTTTAGGGCTTAGGGTTTAGGGTTTAAGGTTTAGGCTTTAAGCTGTAGGGTTCAGGGTTCAAGGTTTTAGGGTTTAAGGCTAGGGTTTGAGATACTATTACATACTAGTGCATATGAGCTATAGTCTAAACTCCTTAAAGGGGGTTCTATAGGGGAGTATGGTAAGAGGTATTAAGGGGGATACTAGGAGTTTAGACTACAGCTCGTATATTGTTACATACTAGTACATGCATTGTTGCTATACAAGACAGAATATGGCTTTAGGTATATAATAATAAGATCCCCATACGCCCCATATTCTATCTACTTAAGGGGGCATATATTTTGTTGCCACTGCTACGGACATATTGTAACTGTTACTCTACTTTTTGCTTGCTACTCTTACTGTTGCTCGCGGTACTATCATTGCTATTGCTTGACACTTGATGTTTATTGCTGCTCGAATTTCGGGTTTGCAGCTTATAGTGTTTCGGGGTTCTCTACACCTTGAACTTCTAATTCAAAGTCTCCGTCATCTGTCGAGTCATGCCTGCAGCAGCAGCATCAGCTTGGAAAGGAGGAGAAGAATAGCTAACAGACAGTACTGGCATTCAAAACTGGTGTAGGTATAAAGGTCCAAAAGCCGCCATGCTGGGAACTTGCCTACTGCAGTTGCTGTAGCTGTTGGAGTGGATTACACGAAAATGACAATTTGACCCAGTCTTCTGGTCCAATTGAAGGCCCATGATCACTAGTCCACATCTGAGAGTCTGAAGCCCGAGAGCTTTAGGTTCTGCTTGTTTTGGAAGCATGTGTTTGCTCACCTCAAATCCCAAGCCCAATCTGGGCTCTACAGAACCCGCCTGCTTTCAGGCTTCTGTCCTTTGTTTTATGGCACACATCCCAAAAGTTAAGGGTTCGGTATAGCGGTATAGTTATTCGGATGTATGTTCTTCTCAGGCGCTGGTCATCGACATCCAGCCAGACCACAGTGTTGTTGCATCCATGAATGCAACTCGGCTCTCTGCGATTCAGGGTTCATGCCTTCTGGTTTCAGGCTGTTGGTCCTGCGGTTGAGGTGTGGTGAAACCAAGAAACTCAACGGCTTGAACGCGACGAGTTTCAAAACGTCGCTCGATAGAGATGCCATATGCATTAGGCGGACCCCCCCCCCAACTTGTAGTAGTGGTAGAGTAGTAAAGTACGAGGACTCTCATATAATCCTTTTTACCCCTTTTAGTCACTATAAACTGGGTGGGGAGTCCACCTAACATATACAACAACTCACTTGTGGCAAATGTCACGGGCGGGCCCGGCCCAGATGTCCAGGACAATGTTGACTGGTCAGAGTCTTTGATTGCACAGTGCGTGATGAACGTACACCCATCACTGGCCTATTTCCCTAGGGATCCAAGTAACAACGAATGCCTACATTGGGTCCTAAAGTTCATAGATATTACCTACATTGGGCTATCCTAAATCCTAAACCCCTATAAGCCCCTGAACCTACATTGGGCTATTTGAATCCCTTGGGATTTATTGAGGAGGTGGGAACGGAGCGCGGCAAGAGATATCTCGCCGTGGAAAACCAAGCTAAGCTGGCCTCATCTTGCTGACTTCATCAAACCCGCGTGTTAGTTGCTGTTTTTTTATAGGGTTATATAGGGTTACGTAGGGAGTATAAGAGAGAGAGGGTTATATAGGGGCTATGTAGAGGTATATGAGCCCAATTATGGTCGTTTGTGGTCTCTCTTTGTGATATTGCCTTCGAGGCCTGCAAATTGTGGCCAGGTTTTGGGCTTTGAGCATGTGCACTTGCAGTTTTCTCTCCTCCTCGGGACTTAGCTTGGACCTTAAACCCTTGACCTTTTGGGATTCCCATATATTCCTATTATAGGTACCTAACGGTTAACCCTTAGTAGGGGTCCTAAGTGCCACGTAGTCTCCAGGTTTTGTCTGCCCATGCCTGATTTTCCAGCTCGTCAAGATGCATGTTTCATCCCACGAGATCTGGACACCCAACAGCTATCTACACGCTCCGACTACTTCCTTGAACTGCAAACTAAGCGTAAACCCTAAACCCCAAACTGACTCTCATCCCCAGCCCCTAAAATTCCAGATGCCTCATCAGGACATAAGTTAGCCGGAAACATCTTGGGGCATGCTAGGGTCTAGATGAGGCTCAGCCTAGATGAGGCTCAGCCCAAGTGAATTTAGCTCCAACATCTGCCCCATAGCTGAAATCCGCATGTTTCTGCTCTTCAAAATGAGAATTGCCTGCCAGCATCGTCTTTCTCACGACGCACTGACGTGTCAGACTTAATGATCAATTCAGATTCCCTGAGATTCCTTGCATCTTTCAATCAGAATTCAGCCACGCCCTATTTGAAATCTCAATGGTGCATGCCCCTTCCCTCTCTCCACGACTTCCTGGCGGAAATGAACAATACCCTCGTTACGTGTAGGCCTGTGATATCCCGTATGAGCAAAAACCCAAGAAAGGTTTGGGGTGTAGAATTATGGGTTTAGGATCTAGGGTTTAGTGTTTGCGGTCTTTCGAGGGTGCACTCGTTCACTGCTGACTCTAAGCTCTACACGCTGATGAACCCAAGCTCTATAGCCCCCCTTAAGTAGATCGAATATAGGGTATGTGTGGATTTTTTAGAATATACCCAAAGCCATCATCTATCTACTTAAGGGGAACTCTAGGCCCAGCACCCTCCCCAGCAACCTCGCTCAGGAGATTAACAAGCAAAAACGACTGAGAGCCTTGGAAGGCAATGCTTGCTTGCAGTAAGTCCCTAGGTAAAAAAGAATTCCGAAAGGTACCTCCAAAATGTAGATCATGGTGAGTTGGGGGTAAGTGCTTGAGGAATTACAGGTATTAAGTAAACCTCTTGAAACCTCGTCGCGAGAAGCTGGGGCTGTTCCAGATACTTACCAAATTCACAACAGTTTGAGTACAGATCAACTTGGGCCTGCCATACATTGTGCTAGCAGTGCAGGGTCCTTAAAACTTTATGCTGGTTGATTCAGATTCCAGATGTTGCAGATTTTAGAGGCAGCGACGATTTGTCATTCATTTCCTTCTGCACCGGATGTTGATCAGAAGGGATGCGCGGTAGATTCAAGAAAGCCTTTCAGAGAGCACCGTGGAAGCTATCCTGTCCTTTTTGCTTGGAGACGATAGAACAAGCAGTGTATTCCAAACCCTGAGGCGCGTTGATGTACATAGGCCAAGAGAGACGCCATATAAATACTAGGCCCCTACTGGACCCAAAGGCATGAATGCGAGGAAGTTTAAGTTTGAAATGCCAGGCTTCGGCTCTTCAAGCGTGCTTTACATCTGTGCCCGTAGACCTTCCATGCCAGGGTCGTAAGCAAAAAGCATTCGCAGATAAAACATAATCTGGCCTTGAATCCAACCCTGTTGGGAGGTAAGCTGACAGCGTATGTGCTAAGGAGATGCTTCCCAAATGGCGGCTGAAGCACACCAAGTCAGGGTCGTACGAGATCCCCTGCTGCATTTTGAGGTCTAGGGTTCGGGGCCCAGGGTTGCAGAAATGGACTTGAGGGTAATTTTAAGTGGAAGGTATGGGACAGAAATCTCTCGGAAGTAACCAGCGGGAAGTAGCCATCAGAGGCTGTTTGGCTGACGTCGTACACCGGCGGGCTTACTAATCAACTTGGCTTCGTGCTGTAGAAGCCTGAATGATTGGGAATAGTTTACCCGCGTACCCCTCAAATACAGAATTTATAGCATACGTACATCAAACCTGGTTCTGAATGTTTCTGTCCCTGCGTATATTAGTTGCTCGATGCGCTCAAAGCTGCTTTCAAGAAGACATGCCCAGACATCACCGTGAGGAGAAAGGTTGACTTACGGAGCTTTTGCAAACAAGGGCGTTAGGATTTAGGTACGGAGAATTAACTGAAAAAGACAATGGATATGATGTGGAAGCCTGTGGTCCCTGCAAGAGAGCTATAGAGGCATCATAAAGGAGAGCATGCAGGTTTTACACTTGGGAAATGTCCTCAGGTTGATAGTACTGCGTGGGACATGACCATAGGATTCATTCATAGGGTTCAGGGTTTCCGGCTTAGGGTATGGGTATGCATCATAACTCATACACCCCAAATCCTGTATAGCCTTATAAACTTTAGTTTCTCTCGGATTTCCTCGGCATGGCAAACCCTCGAGCTGAAAGCACGTGCCATGAAGTTGCATGAACAATGGCTCCTGTGGTACGAATACTTCGACCCTTTAGGAACCCCATGGCCTGAAGTCAGCGGTGTAGGATGTAGGGCTTAGACTTAGACCCTACGCTCTACGTTGACCTGCAGGCTCGAAACCGTATTATGTCAACGGCCTTACATATCCCTTATATAACCCCCTCAAACCCCTTTAAAAGGGGCCCCGACCTTTTGAAACTCCTACATGGTAGTTTCCCAAAATAAGGGGACCCCAATGTAGACCCCAATATACTATAGTCCTTATTATGGGGACCCCCAAAAATGGTCCCCCCAATTTTGGGAAACCCCCTACATACACCGTTTCCCCACTCCCGCCATCGTTGAGGCAGCAGAAGCGGCCGCGGATGCGGCCCAACTGGCGGGTGAGGGCATTGCTTCTGGGACTTTCCAGGGTTTGTGGGGTCTTGGGTTTTTAGGGTTTAGGGTTTAGGGGTTTAGGGTTTGGGTTTAGGGTTTAGGGGGCTGTAGTGTTGGATAAGGGTTGAAGGCCTGCTTTAGGATTTATGGTTGGCGGTTGGATTTAGCGTGTAGGTTGTATAGGTGTTATGGCAGAGTTCAGGTTTGTGGGTAGGTGCTGGGGCTTTGTGGTCTTTCCTTGTCTTAGGGAATTAATGTGCAATGGGTGTGGTGTTTCAAGATTCAGGGTTGGTGAGTATAAGGGCGTATGTCTTCATGTTCGGGTTGTAGAACACATGGCATTAGACTTTGGGGAGTACCCAAACCCTGGAAGCAGAGTCCTGCACCATCGAGAGGGACTCTTGATGCTACAGAAAGACGTTGTAACATTTCTAGGGTGGAGCACTTATTAAAGGGAGGTTAGGGTTCCTGCTTTCAGAATAATTTCGATGTGCAGAAAGTCTACTGAAAGTCGCAGAACCAACCGGCAAACGGGCTACGTTTGCATGGGCTTATTGAAGTGGGAACTGTACTTGGAGGGTGAGGGGCCTCAGTATGTAGGTTGGTAAGCGCTACTATAAGCCATATCATAACCCCAGGTATCCCAAATATTATCATCATCAACCTACTTCCTAAGTCTTCCTGAGCCTCCAAGTAGTAGCTTACTGTTTGGGATCTTCCCTAGCCCAAGGCGAGACAACGAAGAGCAATCATCGACGGGATACGCGATTCCATCACGTTTGGCACGGAGGACTTGTGGTCAGCAGCTTTTTTTTGCAAAGAGGGTTCGTCAGATTCTGTTCTGAAAATTGCCCTGGAGCCATCAGCCCTGCAACAGGATGTTTTTTGCGTGTAACAGTTCGAACCCTGGAACCCTCCTACCCTTAATCCTCAACCTCTGAGCTAAAAAATTGCTGAAGCCCTTAACCCCTAAATCGTGTGGAGGAGTCACTCTCAGCCAACAAAATCTCCCACTTGCTGGTGGTAACGCAGCACCACGCCCTTGTTCAGGATTTGAGTTGCTTCCCTAACTAGGGACCTGTTCTATACCCAATAAGAAGCACCACTCTGTCAGGTTTAGAGAGAGTTTAGGATTTAGGGTTGTGACCTGGAGGACCATGATCTTGGAAAAGTGGTTGGCGGGATGGCAAAGTTTCATCTGGCTTCTGCTTGACTTTTTAGAATGTCTAGCATGTCGACGCGCCCCCAAGGTGTGCAAGACTAGGTTGTGATAAGATTTGCTGTCAATTCCTACAATATGTTCAGCAGCAGTGCATCAAACTACCTTTAGTTATCCATAGTCTGGTGGAAGGTTAGAGTGTAAATCGACCGGAAAACTGCAAGGGAGACTTGCAAAACTGTAAGCTTACAACATGATGAAGAAGACAAGTCCTGCTTCGCTTTTGACGAGCTCATGTCGGAGATTGAAGTTATGGTGCTTTTGGGGGGGATGGAGCCATGAATTTGAGAGCCCGCCATACATAATGACACCTTGACAAGAAGCAGTACCCTTAGAGCCCAACATAGCTGAATTGGGGAAGATACCTTAGATCATACTAGGATCCCTAGCATGATTTAAGGAATATTCCCTAATTAATCGGGTATTGGGCTCCCCGGGTGCCACTTCGCAAGGTTCGACTTACTGTAGACGTCGATCCCTGACAAGCCCTAGACCTAAACTGAATGAAGTATACAAACCAGAATTTGCTGAGTCCGTGAACCACAGACAGGCCCGTAGATCCAAAACCCCAAATCAAACACTTGACACGTAACCTAACCTTCATAACTTGAAACCCTGAATCAAATGCTAAACGCTGAGCCGTGTACCGGGGAGAGCTAGGTACTACGAGACGCTAAAAGTGCTGGGCTCAGAGCTTTTGAGAACGGGGGTGGGGCATCGAAAATTTGGTTGTAGGGTTTCGGGTTTTAGTCAGGGTGTAGGGTTTTGGGATGTAGGTTTTTCGGGTATTAGGGATTTAGGATTTAGGGTTTAGGGTCCCTTGTTGGGAGTTGCGTTCTAGTGAGATTTATCGATTTATTCTGCATGAGGGGAAATCCGTTGGTTTTGGCAATGCCCACATGCTACTTCAAGGTTGATGGGATGTATATTGGTTACTTGAAGAGTTGAGGGCTGAGGTTTCAGGGTTTTTGGTTTCAGGGCCTGGTGTTGAGGGTTCATATTAATATGACCTAGCAATCACTTATGCCCCCACGTCGTATAGTTGTCAGTAGGATTATGACGGAAATGCAAAGATCATACTTTGTAGGGTCTTCCATACATGGAAGGCTGATCGTATCTGAGTAGGTGCTTGGACGCTTCGGATGGGTTTCGCAGTTGAGCATTTTGCCTGCAACGCGCTGGTCGCATCGGCAAAAATGGGCTAAAGGATTTGAACTACCAAGGTTTTAAAACGAAGTCCAGTAGCAATCTAGAAAAAGTGTGTTTGAGGGGGGGGTAGAGACCTTCAAAGCCCAAAACCCTAAATCCTAGACCCAAAACCCCCAAAACCCCCCAAACCCTAAACCCCCAAAGCCCTAAACCCCCAAACTATGACAAACCTTATCCGGACGTGAGGGACAGGATTCCCAGCCCCTTCAGCTTCCAGGATGGCATTTGGGAATGTCCTAAAATTAGGGGTACCCTTTTTGGGGGTCCCTATAATAAGGACTGTAGTATTTTGGGTCTATATTGGGGTCCCCTTATTTTGGGAAACTACCATTTCTGCCTGAAACCCCGAACCCTGAAGCTTACTGGGATTAGTAGGGAACAAGAGAACGTAATACCTGTGTATATCAGACTATATCGTGTTATTATGTATTTTATGTATATATACATATATATGTATATATGTAGAGAGGTTTATAGTAGGGTTAATTAGGGTCATCATTCAAGTTAGTAGGGAATCAGGGAACAGATTATATAGGGGTTATATAGGGATTCTATTCCGTTATTCCTCACTTACCAGGTCACCACCAGTAAGTTGATTCATCCCGGCGTCTTGCTCGCTTATAATCCCAGAGACTCGCCGGATCTTCTGAATGGATGCATGTGTGGAAGAAGCCTGGACCCGAGGGCTACCATTACCGAAGTAGTAGGGTAGTAGGCTTTGTAATTATAGGTATATAGAACCCAGTCTCATTATTAAAGTAACTGGGAGCCCTGGGGTGGAGGCACACTCACCCCTCCCCACCTTACAGAAATTACCAAATGTCGCTCATATCCTTAACATCCTCATATAAGCTCATTTCTAAGCATAACCAAACATGAACCAGAGGATTCCTCCTTTCCAGGATGTATCGTCTGGGAGCAAATCCAGCACAGTGTTCCTGGATAGCGGTGCAGGGGCCCGAGTCACCACAGCGATTCACGACATACCCGAAGTGAGTGGTTGATGATTTCACTGAAATTTGACTACCTTCTGAAAGTTACGGGTTGTTGAAATTTGGGACCTCCCCAGACAGGGGCCAAAATGTTGATGCCACCTTGGATAGACTCGACTGTGTGTTGGTCCATGCGATGTTTATGTTGTTAGATGTATTCCAGTCAGAACCCCCACAAGGAGTGCTGTACTCCTCATACGCGAACTACTGAAAATCGGATGCTGCCCATAGTTTTTTCAGACATGCATGCTTGTCACTTCCAGAAATCCAGTGTATCCACGAAGTACGGATACAAGAACATGTGCGTCAGCACATGTTAACGCGCTTCAAGGCGCTTTGGGGTTGGAGTTCCCTCAGCGAAGTGGTTCAGGATGCAACAGCAACCTCATGGATGAAATTTGTTGGCGGAATGCAGAAGGGCCAAGAACTGGTCGTTCTATCCACTTCCTTAACCTGGTACAAATCTTGAACCATATTAAACTACTGCAAGCCCTATTCTATTCTATGCATTTAGGCTTCTGAAGTTTCTGTATCAGGGGTCCGGTTTCATGTCTGAGCCTACTTGCTGTTCTTGACGACCCGTGGGCCGAAGTTCCTGCAGAAGCTGTTTCTTGACAAGTTTATGTATGATGCGGTATCCCTACCCAGACACAGGAGGCAACGTCCAGCCCGCAGGGAGTGGATATAAGAGGATGTAATACAGGGGCCTATAAGATTAAGACAGGGTTTGGGGGTATATTGGATTCTCCCCTTCTATGGGGAGTTTTAGGAGAGAATCCTGGTAAGTATTTAGGCTGATACAGTAGCTGGTTGCAAGGCCTTGGGTGTCAGGCATTGAAGTCTGGGGTGTGCTACAGGCGGCTCTTACATCGGAAGTGTGGACAAAACCCGAAACCCTAAACCCTAATCGGTTGGAATCCCAACTCCTTTGCCTGAAGCCTGATGTTCTCCGTCCAACATGAACAACAGCCCATATGTTTGCTTTGCTCTTTGGATCCAAGTAGCCCAAGCTAGGTACCATTTGCAGACTTTAGGGGCATTACTTTTTGACTTTGATCTCCAGGGCTGGTTCTATGTAGAATGATCAGTCGCTATTTGGGACCAGCGCACTGTCACTGAGGTCGGTGCAGTCCGCGATCTCGTCACCCAAATCCGTCGCTCGACGGTCCTGGTGCTAAAAAAGAGGCAGTAATAGGAGCAAGAGCAGCAAAGCAAGACTAGGAGGACGAGCGGGAGAAGTACTTAGCAGTTCATGACGCATGGCGCTTGTGTTTGCAGCAGAATGGAAATTGTGGTGAACCTATCCCCTTTTCTGCGGTACCCAGATGTTTCAGGGCTTCGAGGATTTGAGGGTGTCCGCCCTAAGAACCAAATGCCAGGTCGGAATGAGGTAGATGATGATAGGATTGTTGCAGCCTCAGGAAAGTTTGCGTCAGGTCGGATGTTAAAGACTACGGTACCTTGTGCAGTGTGTGGTACAGTCCCACACTTTCCACAGAGGCATAGCACCAACACCTAGATGTGGAAGCTCTGGAGCCTGGTTGAAGTCTTAAACACTCTAAAATCTACAGGCGCTAAACTTAGATTCAAGACCCCAACCCAAATGGTACTTTCCCTAAATAAGGGGATGCCAACATAGACCCCCAAATACTATAGTCCTTATTATGGGGACCCTCAAACAGGTACCTCTAATTTTGGGAAAGCCTAACCGCTATAATCCCATAGATATCCCAGTGTCCATTTCATTTTTCATGTTCTTTTCCATTCTCCATTCTAGTAGGTACCCCTGATTTTGGGAAACCCCCAAATCTCAGGAAATATTCCCAGGCTTGAGGCACCCTGCACTAGCACCCTGGGATTGGAAGCACCTCAAGGAGCTTTAGTCTAGACTCCTTAAAGGGAGGTTATTTAGGGAACAAATACAGAGATGATTCATGGGGATACTCGAATTATTAAGGGGGATACTAGGATTATTAAGGGGGATACTAGGATTATTAGGGGGGATGCTAGGAGTTTGGACAGAGGCTCAGATGCTCCTAGATTCCTATGCAGCAAAAGCCGTTCAATGAGGACGCGGTATGGTCGAAAGTGGTGCTGGCAGCAGCCATGCGAAGTCTGGCAACTTTTTTGGCTGCGTTAGGAACCTCCCTCAAGTTATCAGAATATGGATATTGTCCCCCTTAGGTATATAGAATATGGCTTTGGTATATTATAATAAGATCCCCATATACTTCATATTCCATCGACTTCAGGGAGACTACATGTATTAACTTATTTTACCATAATAGCGACTTAGTTCAAGTTCCTTAACTGAACAGCAATCTGGACTGTGTCTGCTGTTTTTTCTTGAGTTGAAGGCCCAGGGTTCTGGGGTGATAAGTGTTGGGCGCCTCCCGTTGTCTCTGCTTTGAACCTGGGGTTTGTTGTCTATGTCCTCACGTCAAAGCTGTCCCCATCTGATAGCGGCCTGTATCCTCAAGATTTCACACATGCGCACATCTGTCATCCTCAAGGGGAAGCAGCAGAATTGTCCTGTGCGACTTGCATAAGCCTAAGATTTTACAGGGCACCCTACTTTGAAAGGGTACAGTAATGCGCTAGGCTCAGTTTTCAGTCTTGAATTTGTCAAGAGTAGGGACCGGCTCTTGGATGAGCGGCGGTTTCTCTGGAGTTGCCACCAGAAATATCTTACTGGAAACTACCTTAAACCCTGAATGCTATCCAACACCTCAACCAGTAGAAGATCCATCCGCGACTGCTCATTTAGTGGCGCGCTCGTAAGAGTCGCTCAGGCACGGCAGCCAAGCCCGCCCAACACGACACTCGGCGGTTTAGCGTCTGGCATTTGCTGAGTTTATGGCCAAGTTTCGCGAATTGTTCAGGTCTAGGCTGTCTCTAAGCGCGGGTGGTTCTGGAGTGATTTCGGCATACTGGCAACCGGTTTGATTTCCTGGCTACAGATGTTGTCAGCTTAATACCTGCCAGGAGCATAAACTCTAGCGAGCCCGCAGAACCCTGAAAGAATCCAGGCATACATAGCCCTGAGATCATCCGTGAGTTTTTGCGGACGCAGTTGCATACGTGCGTAGCAACTCGTCACCACGAACTTGCTTGACGAGACTCCCCCTGGAGGCCCTGAACTCTAAGCCTTGCACCCTGAACTATAAGCCTGCTCCCCTGTAGCATCTTGTCTTATGAACTCAAAAACTAGGCTTTGAGCTGTATTTCGTGGTGAGGACATGCTCATCGATGAGCTAGAGAAGATGGCGAAGCACATGTGAGATTGATGACGGGGGTAGATGGGGACCGCCCTCAGATTCTCAGCTTTTATGCCAGTTAAACGCACTAAGAACTACAAAGAGAAAGAACTGCCTGCCTCGCCCTGTCTATGCATATGCATATATATTCCAGGTGATCAGCAAGCAGTAACCCATTGTACTGGCAATTGAACTTCCAGGAATTCTAGGGCTGTTGTGAGAGGCGTCCCTAAGAACCCCCTGGATAGAGTTCGAGCCAACGAAGCTGAACTGTGCTGGTGTCGCCTGAAGCTTCGCTTGATTATTGACAACATCTCACGGCACATGGAGACAAGCAGGAGATGAAGTTTGCTTGCTTACAGGCTATCTATCCATCTATCTACCTATCTATCTATCCATCTATTTATCTATCTATTATCTATCTATGGCGTAATTCTGTTGTTTGGGCAAATCCCGGCAGGCTATGTCTATGTCGTATTCGAGTTTCAGTAAAGTTGGCCATACCATCTGATTCATACGGCCTGAGAGGATATGCGCTTCAGCTGGCTTCGCCTCTGGTATCCTCAATTTTTTTGGATCTCGCAGCCACGGTCCCCATGCTACTAAATCAAGGTGAAGAAACATACAGCAGCCTTCGAAATGTGATGAAACCAAATTCCTTGCCAATTGAACACCTCCCTAGAAGTTGCTCGGAGACCTTTGCCACGAAGTGGCATAAGGCCTCCCTGGAATTCGCAAAGATTGCGTATGTTCCATGGACGATGGGCGGGCCAGAATTCTGACTACATGGTTTAGGGTTGAGATTCATGATTTAGAGGTTACGATGTAGGATTTGGAGGGGTTTGAGGATTAGAGGGTTTAGGCAGCCGTCTCGGGTGCATGTACAGTTTCGGTTAAGTGATGAGATCTAGAAAGGTCCACTCCCAATCTTTGACACGCTGAATGCGCCAGAGGAGGGGCTAGTCATGGTTCCGGTTAGTAAGCGCCTCATGATTGTTATCAAAGATGAGAAGGGAGACCCCTGATTCCGAGGCGCTCTGAGCCCTTGACAAGGACTCCGGAAGCGCTGCACACTACTTTTAAATCGTCCCTACCCAAACCCCCAAAGTATGTAACATAATCGTCCTAAACTCAGAATTACAGCCATGAAGGCCATTTTTTTACATACTTTTGGGGTCCAGGTACAGATATACTCCTGAGAGCATCCGCAAAACAAAGCACAAAGTGGAAACTTATGGGGCCCGAAAGGCGACCTAGTATTAACCCCACCAACACCGCTAATATTAAATACTCCCAACATACTGTAATACACCATAATGGGGAGTATTTAACATTAGGGGCCTGAAGGGCACCTACTGTAAGCTACTGTTGGCAGCTAAGCTTGATCCAGTTGTTGTTACCTGTTCGGGGGTGTGTTTATACATTGTAAGCAGAGTGCAGCAAAATCAGAATGTACTCGATGTATCTGAGGTGGTCCTGGCACCCTGAACCCTAAACCCTAAGCTCCAAACGTTGAACCAAAAAAAAAAAACTGAACCCTAAACCCCAAACCCTAAACCACTGAACCCCAAACCCTAAACATTAAAACCCTGAACCTTTAACCCTAAGCAATACAACCCCAAACCCTAAACCCTAGCGAAGCTCATCCCGAAGACTGCATCTGCCCATGTCCTTTGCTTCGGCAAGCAGTTGCTGAT